ACCCTCCACGTCAGACTTGCATGGGCAGTCAGATAGGATTGGCTTCTTGTTTGTTTGCTTTGGTTTTTTGCCATAGGGTCTCACTCTATAGCCTAGGCTGTAACTTGATATATAGTCCAACTGGCCTTGAACCCATGATCTTCCTCAGCTTCTCCAAGTGCTGGGACCACAGCTGTATGTCCCCATTTCTATTTGAAAGCAGGATTAACCATTGTCCCAGGGAACAAAACCAGAGAGGTGGATATGGGGTCCAAACAGCAAGGGGTTAATTTACAGATCCAGGAGTAGGTCCTTCATCCTGCCCCTCATGTCAGTGGGAAACGTTGAAACAATACTCACTAGCTCAGCAGTAGTGTGTTTGCCTGGTATGTGTGGTCACTGGGTTGGATACCCCAAAATGACTTCTGACTTTGGCTTAGATGGGCTGCCTGATAAAGCACCGGTTTATTATGTGTTGACAAAGATTTACCAGTCACTGGGCAGTGTGTTACGTCAATGGCCATAAAGAAAAGGAAAAACAAAAGAGTTGGAGGAGACCTTCCCCCTACCCTTTTAAAAATCAGACACAGAAGCCGAGCACGGAGGTATTTATAATCTCCAACTACTCATTAGGCTGAGACTGAAGGAGCAGAGGTTTGAGGCACCCTGGGCTACATAGTGAGAATCTGTTGAAAAAACGAAGCACAGCTGTGTGGTTGTCCCACCTGTAATCCCAGCATTGGGGAGGTGGAGACTGAGGACCCTTGCAACTTTGAGGCTGGCCTGGGCTACATCGTTAAATGTACAGCCTGAACTCCAGAAGAGCCTGAACTCCAGAACAACACTGGGTCTCAAAAAGAGCAAGGCAAATCGAAACCAAATGAAGTACAGACACAGGCATGTTTAGAGATGAAACTAAGTCTTCAACAGAAAAGTGTTTGTTGTTTTGGATAGGTGAGAAAAACACTGAGCTGTGTTATGGAACCCTAAATCTTTGTTCAGCTACTGCTCTTGCATGTTCTCATGGGGGCTGTGAAGCAGAAGCGAGCCTCCAAACCCTGTAGGCAGATTGGCAGTTTGCTCCAGCCTGTGATTTTCTGAGTACTCTCTGAGGCTATTAGGTGTGTTGTGTAAGAGGCTGGCAGTCATTCACAATGTCCCAATCACATCTGTGTACTTACTTCTATTATTAGACCTTCCCATACTTGCTTGCCAGGTGACAAACAGAAACTGGTTTTCTTTATTCTCGGCTACCTCCCTTCTCTTTCTGAATATGCCTTTCCTACTCAAACTGAAATTGTAAACACGAGAGTCATTTTATCTTATTTTACTTTATTTTATCCTATCTTTTGGTTGTTTGACACAGGGTTTCTCTGCGTAGCCCTGCCTGGCTGTCCTGGAAATCACTCTGTAGACCATTCTGGCCTCATACTCACAGAGATCTTCCCGCCTCTGCCTCCCGAGTGTCTGGACTAAGGGTGTACCCCATCACCACCCAGCTTAAAGTTATTTTATAGGTGGAAGTAATTCAGCATGGGAATGCAGTTTTCTCTTCCAATTGTGATAATGTGTCTATTTTCCAAGCCAGTAGCTCTTAATGTTTTTCTCATTGATCATTTCTCTTGGGGCTGAGTGAATGATTCAATGAGTAAATGAAGGCACCTTCCACTAACCCTGAGGACTGGATTTCAATCCTTGGGACCCAAAGAAGAACAGAACCGATTGCTGTAAGGTGTTCTTCCACTTCCATACATATGCTGTGACATGTGTATGCCCTCCTACTCATAAGAGGATAAAAAAAAAATCTCCTCTGTGTGGATATTACAGCTCAACAATAGGGTGCTTGCCTTGCATACTTGAGGCCTTCAAAGACACTGACACATCAAAAACAAGAAAAAAAAAAAATCCTGAAGAATCTCCCCTGTTACTACCCTGTGGTTCCTTGGCAGTTTCAAAGTATCTATCAAGCAAACTACCAGTGGCTGTTCTGTACAATTGGTATTCACCACTTGCCAGGATCTCTACCATTTCTAAACCCCAATGTACTCCTTTAGGCCATGCATTGTTGTGCACATCTGACCTTTCAAAAAAGTAAATCTCATCTCCTCCATTAAGTGGTTGAGTCAAGACTAGAACTGGTGTCTCTATGATTTGGGGCATGTTGATCAGATTCCTTGCAATTTAATCCCCAGCTCTATAAATTGAGGATTAAATAGTGACTAAACAGTAAATCTCCATTTCTTGAGGAATTAGGCTAAGGGAGGATTAAGTGTGCTGGTCCAGGGTTTATAAGGCCAATAAGAAAGGAGCAAGGCCAGGGAAAAGCCACTTCATCTGTTCCTACCACATCCGCAGCCCTGGAGAATGTATTTCTCCTTGTTTATTAATCAAAGGCAGCTGTAACTGTCACTTGCAGTGTTTTGAAACTCCCAATTAGCATGAGATAATTGCCCCTAATGCAGCAGTCTGCAGATTATTGCCAAAAGCAGAGAAATGGGCACTTTCGTCTCCATAGCCTTGGTGTGGGTGGCTTCCATCAAGCTTGAGGAATACTGCATTTCATCTTGCAAGCCTCATGGCAGCTTGGGTCCACTTAAGTCTCCCAACTCCCTCCAGGATTAAGAGAGCAGAGCATTGTTGCCTGGGAGAGGAAGGGCCGATTCTGCTCAGTAAACCCCCTCTCAGAAAGAGGGCTGGGTAGGATGTGGTGGTCTCTGAGGTACTTTGGGAAATGAAGCAGAAGGCTTGAAAGATCAGGCCTGGGACAGCATAGTGAGTTCAAGGTCAGCCTGGGAAACAGCAAGACTGTCTCAAAATAAAAGTAAGTTGGTGTCTCCATGGTCATCGAGATGTGCCTTCAGAGGGCACAAGGGTATTTGCTTGTGGTTTGTGAGGTTAGCCTGTACTTTCCTTGGGGTGGGGAGGAGGGCAGTCATTCAATGGAGTCAAGGGACTTTGTCCAGCATGCATTGAAAAGCTTCCCAACCCCACCCAGCCTTCTGGAGTATGCTTGGTGAATTTCCGTGGATTTCCCAGCCCTTCCCAGCTTTTAGAGTATTAATGGTACCATCTAGAACAAACTTCTGCAGTAGCAGGGACATGGGGAACGAAACCAGGAGTCTGCTGGCTCCCTTTGGTGTATCCAAGAATTCTCTCTCTCTCTCTCTCTCTCTCTCTCTCTCTCTCTCTCTCTCTCTGTGTGTGTGTGTGTGTGTGTGTGTGTATGTGTGTGTGTGTACATGCGCGTGTGCCTGTGGAAGCCACAGGTCAACCTCAGGAGTCAATCCCTCAGGTGCTGTCTACTTTGCTTTATGAAATAGGGTCTCTCACTGGCAAGTGCTTCAGGCAAGCCGATCAGTGAGCACCAGAGAGCAGCCTGGGTCTGCTTTTCCAGTACTGGGATTACAAGCATGAACCACCACAACTGGCTTTTTAAATGTGGATTCTGGCTATGGGACTCAGCTGGCTTTGAACTGTCTTGCCTCTGCCCTGAGTGCTGAGGTGACAGGTATGTCCTGCCCATCCTGCTTGTCCCCATTCACTTTTAAAAGTTTTGATGCAGAAAGCTTGTTGTTGAGACACTCTTCTTTGACAGGCCCCAGAAGGAAGTGGCCTTTGCTGTTCTGTTCCCAAAGCATCTCGGGTTTTGTGAGAGTCATCATTTTTATTTTTTCCTCTTGAAAACAGAGTTTGTATATGATTCACATCTACTTTTGTGTTGTCCTCTACAAAACCATTCTTTTTCCATGGTGTGCCACCTGGCATTACACAGCAGTTAATATGAACCAAACACTGGCACCTTAAAATTGCCTTGTGAGGTAAGACCTATCTATCAGTAATGTCTCTTTGGTAGAGGAGCAAAATGTGAAATAAATCACTCAGTCATACAAGTAGGGAGTGGAGAAGTGTGACTCCAACCCACAGCAGAGTATTACCACACCGTAGGCATACCCCCTTCCTCCTGTAGGATATTGCTATGTGGCCTAGGTTTTGTGGTCAAGACTCAGCCATTGCCTTAATGATGCTTCCTGTTGACATAAGTGCATATACATACATATGTGCAGGTTGGCTTTTTTCTCTTCTTTTAAAAAATATTTGTGTGTGTGTTTGCACTGCAATAACTGTTGGTAGGTGGTTCTTTCCTTCCACAGTATAAATTCTAGGAGTAGAATTGAGATTGCAGGTCTCAGGGCTTGGAGGTAAGAGTCTTTATCGACTGAGCCATCATGTTGGCCCTCAGTTGGTACTTGTTAGTTACTTGAAACCAATATACATTTTGAAAGTGACCAGTTTCTATTTCCTGTAAACCCAACTTTCCAAATCATGGGAAGACCAGGAGGGGGCGCCTGAAAATCAACTCATTCTAGTGACTGTGGCGCTGGTTTGGTTGTGATTTGGGGAACAACAGTGCCATCTAGTGGAATATCTTGCTAATATCAAGTCCAAATTACTTTTTCTGAAACTGTTACATTGATTATCATTTTGGTCTAGGATCTCTTTTAGTTAGCTTAATTTTAAGTTTTGGTTACCAGAAGAAGAGTATGGTGAGCAGGAAGTTCTAACGTGTTATTGCCAAAACAGATCAAAGCCAGATTGTTTCTCAGAGAGGCCATGATGCTCCTTATGGTCTTTTGGGTTAGTTGAGCCCCTCGAGTATTATATATGGTATAAACCCTGAACTTTAGGCACTCCTCTTCTGCTTTTCCTGCCAAGTGCTTTCCATGGGGTACACTGGTACACCTATCTTGAGGCTTTCCTCTGGAACTGTGAGACTTGGAATTTCTTCTCCAACTCCCAACCCCCACTGTGCCAGGTAAGAACATGAAATTACATGGGTCAGTAACACTGGAGCAAAATTCTATTAAAATAAGTTGGGGTCTTCCCAGCTCAGCACCCCTGCTTCCACAGGAACATTCTGCTTTCACTTGATGTAACTGTGTTTCTGAGTTCTAGACGACCTCCCCCAGGGTTGAGAAAGAAAGCAGAAGTTTTAACGGTTCACATCCTTTGTCTTCCCCCAGCAGCCAGCAGAGCAGCCAGCAGAGCAGCCACGATGATGATTCTAGCAGGTTCCTGAGTCCTCGAGTGCGCCAAGAAAGGTAAGTTTGAAGAAACCGGAGTGGTGTCGGGGGAGCAGAGAAAAATGGCTGGGAAAGAGGTAAAGTACCTCTGTTGCTTCTGCTGTATGTGTGTGAGAGAGTTCCAGGAAGTAGAAGAGAGAGCATCTGGCCTTTGTTCATGGAGAATGATTGGAAAGACAAACTGTTGCCCCAGAAACCAGAGGGCACAACACTATTGCTGAAGGTCGGGGCCAGGCTCTCCGAGGAGGAAGCCAACTGCAGACCAAAGGCTCTGGGCAAACTTAGGGTTTAGGATTTGAGTGGTGCTTTTGTTTTGTTTTGTTCTGTATTGTGACAGAATTTCTCTGTGTAGTAGCCCTGGCTGTCCAGAAACTCATTTTGTAGAGGAGGATGGCACCTGGAAACAGATTCTCTTGCATCTGCCTCCCAAATGCTGAGATTAAAGAAGTGTGCCACCATGTTGAGTGTAGGATTTGAGTGGGTATAGAATTTGAGTCAAACTTCGAAGGTAGAGTGCAGTGAGGCTCATATTGGGAAAAGGAATTTTGTTTCATTGTTGTTTGGGGTAAGGTTTTTTACCTGAGAGGTTTGTGTGCCCTGGGACTGAAGGCTGCAGTCTTTGGAGTGAGGGGGGATTTTTGGGGAGAACAGGTTGATATAGGGGCCACCAGGGGAGTGAATGTGGTGACTTCTAAGTGCTGGGTTGAGGATTTGAGAGTTCATTGGTTCTGCACTAGGGATGTGAGAACTGGCTAGGATCTGTTTCATTAGTGCTGTGAGTATAGGCTGAGGGGTTTCTGTTATGAGTTATATTTCTTTTTGTTTGTTTGTTTGTTTGTTTGTTTTATGTAAGTCAATGAAAGGTGATTTGACCTGAAATGCTGGCCCTTGACCCCAGAGCCTCTAGCATGCTGAGCACACATTCTGAATTGATATCTGGAGAGAGCAGGACAGCAGATGGGAACTAAAAGAAAGACTCTGCTGGCCTACCATAGGGGCTCTGAGTTTTGTTTATTTAGGCTTGCTATGTAGCTTAGGCTGGCCCCAACTTGTAATCCTTCTGACTCAGTTTCTTCAAGTACTAGGATTATAGGGGTATGCCACTGTTCTTGAATGAGATACATATTTCAACAAAGGAAATCAACTATATACTAGGAAAGATTTGTTTACTTAAAAGTTTAAAAAATTACATTATAGGTTTCTCTGTGTGTGTGTGTTTGGCCACATATGGAGACTAGAGGACCATTTTTCAGGAGTCTTTTCTGCCCTTCTGCTGTGTGGGTTCTGGGGGTTGAACTTGAGTTCTCAGGTTTGATGGCAAGCCCCTTTACCTGCTAAGCCATCTTGCCTACTCAACATACATTTCTTTTACACTTAGCAGTTTCTGCCTATTAGCCAGCACACTGGAGTCAGATCCCTGAAAGCATAAAGCTAGTCTGGTCTACATAGCTGCAGGCTTGCCCAGGTTACATATGGAGACTCTATTTCAAAAAGACAAGCAAAACCAAAACTATCTATAAGTCTATTATTGACTAACTTGAAAGGATTTCCTATGAAAAGGAACATGGTGATTTTACTTTTCAGCTCCATAAAGCCCAAAACACAACACTGTCACATGGCTTTCCTATCTCTTGAGACAGGATCTCCTGTGGCTCAGCCTGGTCTTGAACTCCTGGCCCTTCTGCCTGAATCTCAAGTGCCAGGAATACAGGACTGCCCCCACCACACCCTTCTTCAGACAGCCTTTGAAGGGATGTGCAGAATTGTGATCTGTATGAATTTGAGTAGATCTATAGTGTCTTATCACCCGTCTCTTCCAAAGAGTCTTTAGAATCAAGAGAATGGTTTTGAGGCTATATAATTATAAGAGCAGAGGTAGGCACATCTCTGCGTTAAGGCCAGCGTGGTCTACCTGGTGAGTTTCAGGATAGCCAGGGCTATGCAAAGAAATCCTGTCTCAAAAACATAAGCTAACAAACAGAAAATGAGAGCTGGTTGACAGGAAGGAGGGAAGGTTAGAAAAGAGACTGTTTACTGAAGTATCACAGCACTCAGTGTTGAGGTGGAGTCTCACTAGAGCCTGGGCTGGTCTTTGTGCTTCTGGGTTGCTGGGTAAAGTCACTGCTGCCATTCCCAGCTTGACAGCACTCTTTATATACAACATCTCACAAAATGGGATTCAACAGAATTAAAGGGAGTAAATTAATTCTAAATAAGAAGGTTTCAGCTTAGGTTAGGAGGAACTTTGTTTTTTAGTTTTTTTGAAACAGGGTTTCTCTGTGTTGACCTGGCTTTCCTAGAATTTAATTGTAGACCAGGCTGGCCTCAAACTCACAGAGACCCCCCTGCCACTGCCTCCTGGGGGAAATAATTAAGTACTGAATTACATCTAACCCCAACAACACCCTCCCCAGGAAGCCCTGTCTTTTAGACACTGCTTCCTAGCCAGACATGCTTTTGTCTGGCTGCTTAGGATGGACACTGATAAAAACTATGTTTAGCCTCCTTGCCTGACCATGTGAACCTCCATAAAGGCTTCTCTTCCAGACTCGTAGCCTCTAGAAAGAAATCCCTAAATTTCTTTCCCATCTGGAAACTGCTGTGGTGATTTGAAAGAAAATGACCCCCAAATGGAGTGGCACTACTAGGGGGTGTGGCCTTGTTGGAGGAAGTGTGTCATTGTGGGGATGGGCTTTGAGATCTATTGCTCAAGCTTCCCTTACTGTGACTACAGTTGACTTCCTGTTGCCTGCAAGAGGTAGGGTTCTCGGCTCCAGCACCACGTCTGCCTGCACACCTGCCATGCTCCCCATCATGATGATAGTGGACTGAACCTCTGAAGCTGTAAGCCACCCCAATGAAATATTTTCTTCATAAGAGTTGCCATGGACATGGTTTCTCTTCACAGCAATAGAAAACACTAAGTCCCTGCTCAGTTCCCTACATTCTTCATGGTGGTTGTGGACACCATTTGCCTGTACTTGCTTGGCATCTGTGGTGTGGCATATGTCAGAAGTGTGCTGTGGTGGCTGTCCCTGTGTGTACCCCGCTCTGAGATCCCAGAGCCACCCTATGTTTGCCATGGCCACACTCAGTGAAGTCTTCCCTTCTTGGGTTTCTTCTACTGGTGAGGATGAGCTTCCAGGGTAACACCCTGTATGTGATTCTTCCTATAATACATTTTCATCTGTTTTAGAGTCTGCTGCTTTGAGAACATTGGACTGTGATGGACCAAGATTTAAATCTGAAAAGATTTTCTGTAATAGTGAGGGTGTGGCCCGTGTGCCTTACTTACCCTGAGCTCGCTCTCTCTCTCTCTCTCCCTTCCTCCCCCTCCCTGTGTGTGTGTGTGTGTGTGTGTGTGTGTGTGTGTGTGTGTGTGTGTGTGTGTAGAGGGTCAGGTGGTGCTGGTGGAGGTCAGAGGTCAATCTCTGTATTTCTTCAGGTGCTGTCCTGTCTTTGTCTCTCCCTCCCTTCTTTCTTTCTTGAAAGGGGAGGAGAGGCAAGGCCTCTCATTGGCTTAGAACTCATTAATTAAACTAGGAGTGAGCCCTAGGGATCCATCTGTCTTTGCCTCCCCCATGCTGGCTGTGATTATAAGCTCAGGGCTTCTGGAGATGGAACTCCTGCTTAAGTCAGCAAGCAGTATACTGGCTGAGCTATGCTCCCAGCTTCACCAGGGCCTTTGGAAGGCTGAGCACTGCCTCATTAAAGGCCACATTTCCTACACCGTGAGTCTCTCCTGTAATCTTGCCATTTACTCTGTGCCATTCCTCTGGGGTGGGGGTAGGGGGTGGGCTGGGAGTGGCAAATGCAGCAGGGACTTCACAGACTGAATGGGAGTGGCCCAGAGTGAGGCATTCTAGCTGCTTCTAATGGTCTAGATCACGAAAGCTTGCTTCATGGAACAGGTGAAATGAACACTGATTTCTTTAAAATTCCTTAAGTCCTTTTAAATGACAGGTTTATTGTATAAGATGTGCTTTTGGCTGGCTTAATAAAACTTTTATTCTTTCCAGCTCTGCCCAGAGTTCAGGATGGACCTAATATTTAGAGACAAGATAACTACCTTACTCCAATCATTCGTCACTTGACAATAGGAGTATCATCACCATGTGATTATCTCATTGTGTGGACATCATGGGGTAGCTCACATAACTGAGATGGCTGTGAGCATCTCCAGGAATCTAATCTTACTGGACTACTTCCATTGTTGACCCAAGTGTGCTTATGTATCCCGTGGCTGCCTTAACAGTGGTGAATGAAAAGTCTCTCTCTGGTCAAACAGGGCAGCAGTGACCTTGGGGAGTAAAGTTGATTAAGAATCCCTTTACTAGGAAATGGGGGAGGGGTTGGAGGGAGGGCTGTCCCAGAAGTAAGGACTTGTCTACAGTCCTGCCAGGTTTCCAGTATAAAGGAAGAGATGACTTCCTCAGGTTTGTGTGTTGGGTGTATGTACAGACTCATACGTGTGAGTGTGTGTGTGTGTGTGTGAGGGGGGAGGGAGGGAGAGAAGGAGAGAGAGAGAGAGAGAATGGTGTTAATCCACTTTTCCTGCTTCTAGGTGAAACATCAGTCTCCAGGTTCACCTTAAACTAGACCAATTATTAAAGTTTCTCAGGTACCCAGAACTTTATTCAGTACATCTGCCCCAGTGGTGGGGACTTGTAAACAAAGCATGTACTGTAGGAAGGGGAGCTGAGCTGTTTTACTGAGGACCCTTTGTGTGTAGCAGGTGAGTTCCAGTAGCTGACCCAGATGCCTTTCAGCAGCAGGGAAGTTGAGACCTGGAATGAGGGTGTGTGTATGTGGATGTCAGGGTGGGGCTGTAGCAGGGCCCAGAGTGTGCATGCATGTGGACATCCCTGCATGCAGGTATGCATGCCTTGAGCCTTTCTGAAATATCCACTGGATATAGGAAAGCTGCTAGAACCCAGCTGCAAGATGGGTGAAGGTGCATTGGCTGTTGATGGGGGCCTGCTGTATTGGTAAGAGCAAGTACCTTACAGTTAGGAACA